GGAAAACTGAGCATGCAGAGCTAGCATACCACCATTTACCCTACTAATGGTGTCGAGGAAAGCATTGCGCTCGTCCAAAGCCCTTTTCTCAAAGGCCATCCGAGCGGATTGCTCATTGCTCAGAAGGCGTAGCAGTTCTTCCTTTTCAGTCTTAAGGGATTCTCGTTCGGTGTGCCAGATGCTCTTTTCGAGCTGCAAAGCATTCCTCTCATGCTGAAGAGAGTCCGTCTCCTTCCTCAGGGAGTCCCTCTCCTTTTCAACTTTGCCGAGCTGAACCATCAACCCGGTCTTCTGAGCAGCCAAAGCATCGTCCTCCTTGTTAGCTGCACCAAGGCTGTCAGAAAGCGTGCGAACCTTGGCATTCACCAGCTCAACCTGCTTTTGCATAGCCATCATCCCGTACAGGGTCTGTAGAGATATACATGACAATTAGTTAAGCCGAGCAAATGGTTAGAAGAAATCAAGTGTAAAGACTGTATGAAGATTCATTGACTAAGAGGCAGAAGTTACCTCCATGGCAGATAGGGGAAACCGGCTGAACACTTCTCTCTGAGACAGACCCTTGGCTACCTCATTGTCCTTAGGAGTCCACATGCTCCTGTAGTATGCCATAGCGGTCTGACCATCCTTGAACATGGTCTCATTCGGCTTTACGGACGATCCGTCTGTTCCAATGAAGCGAGGGTTCCATGGTGCCGTTCCTGAGGCAGAGGCATGCCCAGAACGGGTAGGGGGCCTGGTCAGAGGAGGCCTGGTTAGAGGATGCACGGACACATTCGGCCCAGAAGGCCTAACCCTCTATGACAAAGGAACGTCATCGAGGCTGAGGGCACTATCAGGCTGATGCCTTTTTCCTCTTGTCTTTTCCCGTGCGGAAGCAGTAGTAGAACTGGGAAGGTTACTGACAGAGGGGGTCACGTTCGGACTAGCGATCGTTGTGTTGGAGATCGGGTCAATAACCGTCACGATCGGATCGGTGGAAGGAGTGGTATCAGAAATGGTGGCGGAGGAAGATACTGAAGCTGGAGAAGAAGTTGCTGCAGGGGCAACAACGGGCCTGGGGGCAGTTTTTCTCCTGCCAAAGGAAGGGATCTGGAGTTGACTCATTGTCTTGTCGAGGGCTGAGAGAGCAAGGAGGTTGTCTGAAGTGAGGAGGTCCGAGCAGGAGGGAATGTCGGTCAGAACGTACTGCTTCAGGTAGTTATCCCTATCCCTGCACACACCGTAGCTCAAATCATCACAAGGAATGCCTAAGGAACGGCACAAGAAAGTACAAAAACGAGGAATGCAAATCTCGCAAGGACAGTCACTCTTATGGGTTTTGTATTTCTTATAAGAAGGGACAGAGCACTCTCCAAAAGCGCTCGGGATAGGGAAATCCTCTGCAGCTGGAGAAAACCAGGCTCCCCTAACCCCAATTATATTTTTCCTCCAACCCTTCTCGGATTTGATCTTATCTTTGCAGATGGACCTCTTCTCAATGGGGTAGAAGTGGTAAAACGGTTCACCAGTTCTAATTTTGCTAACCTTATAACAGAGGAGAAGATCTACGAGGTCCAGATCTAGACCTCTGTCACGGATCAGAAGCAACATAACAGATAAAATCCTAAGGAATTTTCGGTTTACTTGCAAAGGGGAAAGTTTCAGTTTATTAAAAGCGTAGCAAAAGAAGGGATGCAAAGGGAACCTAAGGAGGTTAAGATGAAGGTGTGGAAACAGAACCTTGCCGGGAAGAAGGCCAGCACCGGTTCTAATATTCACCTCTTTAGGACAATTTCTAATTTGTATATCGTCAGGAAGGTGAAGTCTCATGCGAAGAACATCTAGATCTACAGTCATGGCGAGAATGAATGAAGATTTTAAGGAAGAAAAAGAGGTCTTCCGAAAGAAAAAGGCAAATGAAACTAACCTCAGAAAGTGACAACGTCAAAGGGTACTGCAAGGTCACTGGAAAAATGAGCTTTTGTGAGAAATCGCTGGAGAAGATTCGAGCAACAAAAAAGTGAGATGGAGATGGTAAAGAGAATCGATAGAACATCTACGAGGCTTATAAAGACAAGGTGGGCCCGAGAGCCGAGGAGTCAGGAAAGCGAGGAGTTTTTTGAATCTCGAAGTGCCGACCCCCAAATCTAACCATCCATTCTCCCATGCGATCTTCTCAAGCCGTCAGGTCATGATTAACAGCCTCTAATAATTACCCCCTAATTAATAGGGAGTAATTATGGGGGCAGTTGAGGATACACTAAGTGGTATGGGTAGGTTGTAGTTCACTGGCATTGGATCGGGGCAAACAATTGAAGTATAGCCCATACAAAAGCACCACGGAATGGGCCGATCTTGGATCCACTGAAGAGGACTGAGCCCATTGGAAAGAAGGCCCAAAAGAGATAGACCAGCAGCACTGGTAGTTGCCTATAAAAGGGCAGTGAAGAGAATGAAAGGGGGATTGGATTTTTGATTATTGAAAATGTGATAAGATTCTGTAAAAAGAAAAGATAGAAAAATCTTTGCATCTTCAAAAAGGTACTGGAATTCCTTTCCTAAGCAGCACTGAAAGTGCCGTTAACATGTCACAATACTTCTTGTTATGGCACTTTGAAGCGACAAACAGCTCTATAACTTCACGATGCTCAATTTTGATTTTTGCTAAACGTAACATTCTCTTCTTGATAAAGTTTTCCTAGTTTATGGAAGCCTTCTTTTGATACATCGAGTTACTTCAATCATTAGTTCAAGCCTTTGTTGTGATGATTTCCTTTGCTCTTTTTTGTTGACCAACACTGGATCTCCTTTAAATCATCTTGAATTGGGTTTACGATCTTGAGTGTTGTAGCCATGGCTCACAGTTGATTGGCTCTAATACCTAGTGATGAGTACTTTCATCCCTATTATAAAATAAAAATAGAACAGAAAGGGAGAAAGCCAACTTCAAGGTGGAACCAGCTTATTTGAAATTCCTTGGTGCTCGTGAATACCATATGGCATCTACCAGACTACCAACATATAATAATAAAAGATAACTGCTAAAAACTACCATTTACCAACCCCAATCATCTTATCTAATCCTAATACTATCGTAACTATCCTAATTATGTACATGTGTGTATGTTTTTTTAATAAATTATTTGACATTATCCTAATATATGGAGTCATGCTGAAATAGATACACATGAGCAGTGTGAAATCACTTGAGAGGTGAAAATGCAATTTGAATTAAAAAAAAAAAATGTCTTGAAAATGATGCAACAAACAGAGGGTTCAAAAAACTTGAGCACAGGATTCTGTTGAAACTTGAAATAAATAGGAAATGTTAGGAAAAGTATACCAAACTTGAAATTTGACTAGACTTCAATAAACCGTTGGTCTTAGAAGTAGATTCACGCGAAATACCAGTCAGCATCTTCAAAAACCTTTTTTATTTGGGTTTAGCATGATTTAAAACCAAAAAATAACATTAGGTTTGTATAATAATGAAAAAAAATGACAGCTTTTTTATAATTCCTCCTCAAACAAAAAAATTGAGTCTTTATTGGTCGATATGTGTTTTTTGGATGCCATGATTGTCCCAATTTATTGAAATGGAAGATCTGTAAAGGAATTTTTTGAGTAGCAATGTTTTGTGGATTAAGATGTTGTATTGTGCATAAATGGAATTCAATTTTAGGGCGATGGAAGGGTCGATTAAAGACATAACTAGAAATGCATGCATTTTGGACACTCTTGGAGCAGACTCATGAGGTGATATATTGAACATCAAGTGAGAGAGTTTGTATTTTTGGACACAATAAAAGAGAATTAATGGCACCTTGAGATGATGTTTGTGAGTATGAAGAGCAAGTGTAAAGGAGATGAGATGAAGTCTGAAATGCTATAATAGAATTAGTGTTACTTTATGGTTGAAAAAGTGTTACTTTATGGTCAAAGGAAGACAGGATGTTTAACATATTGAAAGCAAAGAAAATTTTTGTTGCCTTTGTCAATTGTTGGGATAAGACTTTTTATTATTGGGCTGCTACCTAATCTTATATAATCGGCTAATTTCTAATATTTACTAAATATATATTGCTGCTTATTCATCGCGCTACATATCATATGGATTTTCTTCTGATCTTACTAGCATTCCTTCAATTTGATTGGTGGAGGCTGATGTTTTCCATTCATCGGTTCATTGGATGCACATTTCTAGTTAACAATTTTTATTCCTTGCCACATCTCTTTTACCCTCTGCCTGTGATTTTAATTGAATTAAGATAATAATACTTTTAAATTAGAGTATCTTTTTGCAACTACCTTTTATTAAAATATTTTTTTCAATAACAAAGTTGCAATCTCACGCTTTGGCTAAATTTTTGAAGCCTGTAGGCTCATGTATATTCTTCATCATTCTTGCTGTCCAAAACTGGATATTCTTCATCAGCGTGGACTTTTTGGGTTCTTTGGGTCCATAGGACTTCCCCTTTCTCTTTTTTGGTTTTTGTACAGCTCTTGGGACGCATTACCCTTTTGAACGTTTTCTAATACATTTTTACTTATCAAAAAAAAAACTGGATATTTTGGAATTAAAATGTTGTAAGCAAGAACTAGGACTTTTTCCCAGGATTTAGATTTACTTTGACCTTTTTATTGTGGTAAGAGTGGTGGATGAAGAAAAGTTTTTTCATTAAATATCCACTTCGCAATCAACTATTTTCAAAATGTTGTATGTAGTTGGCCCAAAATTTGTTTTGCTATTTGAAAAGTTCTCCAATCCTTGTTTTAATCCTCTGCCAATCTCGTGTCTTTTGTGAAAACCTTGTGATTCATTGATCAAATTGGTACATTGATAGGATTTGAGCATATTCCACATTAAGTACATGTTGTGGAAAATTGGCCTCTTTATCCTAAAACTGAACTACTTGAATTTGTGTCTTAATTTATTTGGCGTACCTTTTTTTTTTTCTTCACAATATTAAGTAACATTTGAGACTATCTATCATAATAATATGTTGTTCATGATGCAGGCATCTCACTACCTTTATGACAGTCTATATGCAGAAAGTTGTGAGGCGGATTTTCTTTGAGTAGGAACGTAGGTCTCCTGTTGCCTTTTTGTATTGTTTTTACTGCAAAGATAAAGGAATTGAATGGTTTCCTTTGTATCGTGAAGGAACATCTGCCTGTATTGGTGTTGACTAGCAATATGCCACCCTTCATAATTTTACTGATCTAGTTTCTTTGAGAGGCTTGATAAATTGTTGTTTTGTTAATAAGGAAGTTTGATGAATTATCTTTTAGAAGAGGTTCCAAAGTAATTTGTAACCTGAGTAACACCACAGCTCTAAGAATACACTTAATTTGTAACCTGTTTTGTATGAAAATCGCATCGATTTTATGTTTCTTTCAATGTGATAAATCGGTTGGTTGGCATATTTAATTTGTCACAAGGTTGATGGCGGATGTGTTTTGCTTCTTTTGCGAGTAAATTTTTTTCATAGCAGAAGCAGGAGCTTTTTGGTCCTCATGTTATGTTATTATACTAGAAGACACTAACTTTGAATTGAAGCAGTTATATATGAAACTTGCCTTGTTAGCCACAGCCATTGTGCGAGTCTAGTTAGGGCCTAGGGGGGAGATTCCAATCTGCTTAAGTATGGTGCAGAATTAGGAGCACAAGTCACAAACCATTTGGTAGGCTTCTACTCTCTGCTCCATCAAGCGATTCAAGCCTTGATCGCTCTGTATTGCAAGGCAACCATTTTGAACGCACCGAGGACATTTGATTTCTGCCATCTTCAACTCCATAGCAGTGGGATTAAGACAACTACGAATGATTTAGGGCAATTATGAGTTTGAAATGCTAAAATTCTCCATTTTTTCATGTTTGAATTTGCATAACAATTAGAGTCACGGACAATTATGCCTAGGATGTATTTTATTTTATTTTTAATTTTTTTGGGTCAAGTGAATTATGCCATGACCTGCACTTGGGAGAAGTATTGAAAATGTCTTGTTGAAAAACATGCCTAAATATCCTTATTATCCAATACTACAGTGTTTTGCTTGTCATCGTTAGGGGTTAACCTAACTATGGAAACCACCTTTTTCTTTATTAATTATTAGTAAATTACCTCTGATAAAGAAAATAAGAAAAAAGGTTATTACAAAATACGGTAACTTAATGGAGTGGAATCGGCAGATGAATTGGTTTTAAAGACCTGCACAGTCCCTTTTTTTTTTCATGCTTTTATCTCTTAGTAATCGGAGTTCACATATTCCTAATCAATTACTTGTAAATTAACCAATGTTTTTTGAAGGGAAAGATTGGGCGTAAATTTTAACTTTCAATGTCATATGGAAAAAAAAGAATAAGAGATCGAAAAATAATTTTTCTTTAGACATAAAAGTGTGTCTTACACATTTACCGGAAAAATAATGGTCACTAGAAAAAAAATACAAGTGAGTTATATACTCTAACCATAAGCAATGGTCACTAAAGAAATAATGGGAAAAAATTGGTGGCAAACAAGAACAAAATATAATAATTTTTGTTTGAGCGTGTTGTCTTGGATGAATTCTTAATATTCCTTAGTACTTTATTATCAAAGATTAAAGCGATAAACGGCCAAACTAATAGATACAGGGGTAAAAATGTAAATTGAAGTTATCAGTTGCGCACCAGTCTTGTTTTATGTCTAATTTCTATCTATATTAAAACCCATTTCAGACATGATAGAGAGCTCTTCTAACGGCCACACATGGCCTCCTTTACCTTCAACCCTTTGCAGCAGAAACAGCTCTTCCCAATCACTCTCTGTAAGTGCCTATCAACTCTTAATACCTTTAAATTCCAATTCTCATCTCATTTTCTCAGTTTCTCACCAACCAAACACACACTTCAGCCAATTCTTTCACCACTTGTAGTTAGAGCACATGTCAGTCACATAGACACCAAGTTGTCTAGCACAGACGAAGAACTATCGAAGAACACCATGAACCACAAAATTACTGAAGAATGTTTTTCTGGGTTTTCTCCTTTTCGGACTAAATATAGAAGGTTGGACAAAAAATCTGTGAAAAACAATGTCGGTTCAATAGTGAAGGATATTAAAGAACAGAGGGTCAAGAAAGGTGGACAAGCAAAGCAAAGATTAAGTTCTAGAAATAGAAGTAGGGCAAATTCTTCTGGGTCTTCTTCGATGGGGTCAAAAGATGCAAATTTAGTCAGAAAAATGTTAAAGCCGGTGGGTAATTTAATAGATAGAAAGAAAATAGAGAAAAAAATTAAAAAAAGTGATGATAATCGGTTGGGAGATGGGAAAACAGCAAAAGGGTCTAAGAAAAGTAAAGTTGATTCACCAGGAGATATGTTGAGGGTTGGGTTGGATATGTGTTCTAAAAAAGGGGATGTGATGGGTGCAATTAAACTGTATGATTCGGCTAGGAGAGAAAGCATAAAGATGGGGCAGTACCATTATACTGTGCTTTTATATCTTTGTTCTTCTGCGGCTACTGGTGTTGTTCAGCCTGCAAAAAGTGGGAATGGTAGTCGGAGTTTGAGTATGGCGGGCTCCTCTATCGAGTTTTCTGATGTGATTCCCAAAGGTTTGGGTGAATTAAAGGAAATGGGTGAGAGGAATTCTGTTACAAGCAAATCGAATGTTCGAGTTTCAAGCAATGGGCGATTGGTAGAATTTCGTGGACATTCTGATACAGCAGAAGTGAATACTAATAGTTTTCCAATGAAATTGGCAAAAGATGACTTGGATAATGATTTTGATGAGAAGCACGACTTAAGCCAAATCTCTAATGATTCTATGAAGCAGAGCCCTCGAGCTTTAGATGCAAAGGGTGATGATGATTCCTCAAATATAAAAGATGGGAGTGGTGACCAAGAAGATAATGGAATTCAAGTAAGTGTAAATGTCAAGAGATTTGCACTGCAGAGCGGTTTTGAAATCTATGAGACGATGCTTTCGGAAGAAATCCCATTGAATGAAGCAACATTGACATCTGTGGCTAGAATGGCAATGTCGATGGGTGATGGTCACATGGCATTTGATATGGTAAAGCAAATGAAGGCATTGGGGATAAACCCTAGATTGCGGTCTTATGGTCCTGCTCTTTCTGTTTTCTGCAATAGAGGTGATGTTGAGAAGGCGTTCTCTGTTGAAGAGCACATGCTGGAGTATGGTGTCTATCCAGAGGAACCTGAACTGGATTTACTCTTAAGAGTGAGTACAGAAGCTGGTAGGAGTGACAAGGTTTATTACTTGCTGCATAAACTTAGAACAAATGTAAGGAAAGTGTCACCTTCTACTGCAGATTTGATTGAGAAATGGTTTAAGAGCAAGAAAGCTTCAAGAGTGGGGAAAAGAAATTGGGATCAAAGATTAATAAGGGAAGCAATTGCAAACGGAGGTGGAGGCTGGCATGGGCAGGGTTGGCTCGGTAAAGGAAAATGGACGGTTTCACGCACATCTGTTGGAGCTAATGGCCTATGTAAATGCTGTGGTGAAAAATTAGCCATTATTGACCTTGATCCTACAGAAACTGAAAATTTTGCCAAGTCAGTTGCATCGATAGCCCTACAGAGAGAGAAAAATTCAAACTTTCAGAAATTTCAAGTATGATACGTCCCTTAATAGATCTCATTTTTGCACTTCCATATGCCGGTCTGGTGAAGTGAAAAAGATAAGTTTGTTCTTTGCAGAAATGGCTGGACTATTATGGACCATTTGAAGCAGTTGTAGATGCAGCAAATGTTGGCCTTTACAGCCAAAGGAAATTCAAACCCTCTAAGGCAAGTTACTTAATGGGTTATATGGACGTAATGTGCAGAAATTTGAATACTCGTTCCATCAGTCTTATTATTATATTTTTTTCCTTATATGAATGGAGGACTCTGTAGGTCAATGCCGTTGTGAATGGAATACGGCAGATGCTTCCTTCAAAAAAGTGGCCGCTCATTATTTTGCATAACAGACGTATTACTGGCGACAAGATGGATGAACCAGTAAATAAGGCACTAATTGAGAAGTGGAGAAATGCTGATGCAATTTATGCTACGCCCACTGGATCAAATGATGATTGGTTAGATACATTTTATGTATCTGTGCAGTAACTTCTTTTCCTCCCAAAATTTATGTTTGTTGGTCCATGCTAATTAGTTTTTATTTCAATGGCTCAATTCACATAATTGATTTTACTTTTTGTGATTCATCTGCATTTGAATTGCCATGGGTAATAACCTGTGCCTTCAGGTACTGGTTGTATGCAGCTATAAAGTTCAAGTGCCTAATTGTGACCAATGACGAGATGAGAGATCATTTATTCCAACTTCTAGGGAATGATTTCTTCCCCAAATGGAAAGAAAGGCATCAAGTAAGTAATATATTTTAGTGCTAGAAATTTATAATAAGCTATGTAGTTTATATTATAGGCTTGGCAGTACCATATATTTTGGTTTCTAATATCTAGGAGTTGATTCAAACTGATTGAGATTGCCAGTGAAAAGATATTGAATAACTAATTAGCTCCAATATTATCTTCTGAGCATTTTGATTTGTCAAGACCATGTGCTATAAAACGCACACCCCCTTTTTCTCGATGGGTCATATGCATTAGCACAAACTATAACCAGAGGGACAACTAAAACAAAATGAAGTACCACTAGCCATTTTACCAGTTGATTTTCTTTAGTCAGTCATTGAAACTGATCCTTATATTTTTGACTGAAAACTCTTCAGAACACATTTATCTGAAAATAAAAATTAAAAAAAAAAATTTGGAATTTTTCTGAATGTTCTTGTCACCATAATATTTTGTATTCTTGAATGCTTTACTCGTGCAGTTCCATAATAAGATATCTTTCTTTTCTTAATGGAAGGTGCATTTCAGTTTCTCAGATACCGGCCCAGTGTTTCACATGCCTCCTCCTTGCTCTGTTGTAATTCAGGTCAATATTCTTTATTCCTGGCTTGCTTTGTTCTTTGTGTAAACAAATAACAGGAAGATATGGGCATATACTAAACTGAGCTCAAATGTAGGAGGCTAGGAGCACATATATATATATACCCTTTAAATCTGACAAAAGAGAAATGTACTTGTAGTATGACCTAATCTGCTAACCCTAGCAGGAATCGGAGAAAGGTCACTGGCATATTCCAATTGTATTTGAACATGACTCTGAAGGGGAAAGAACATGGTTATGTGTTACACGTGCTAGCTCACACATGGCAATGCAAGCTTCCACTACCATACATGAAGGTAATTATCAACTTCAATTAAACAGATTTCTTATCCTTAACATTACAGTTGGTTACATGGAACCTTCTCTTCCATTTCAACAGGCCCACTTCCATTTTGCTTGTTTCTTCCAAGTTTAATATTCCTGGATCAAGTAACCAGGTTGTACTTGTTAAAATCATTAGTATATTTAACATGCCAGAACTCTCTGTTGGTCCATACTTGCCAAGAAATGTGGCATGCGTCCATATCAGTATTTTATACATATATGTATTTGCCAATTGTTGAGGATGAAATCCACGCGGTCCGATACGATACCGTTTTCCTGCAAAGAAGAGAGTAGAAGATCGATGAATCTTGATGGCACTGATGTGGTGTCTGCCAAGAGCTCTCCGACGATCAAGTTAGTCACCGGTGGTCCAAAAGAAAGGCAGGAATTTAATAATAGTTTTTTCGTCGTACCTTATTCTCGAGTCGTCTTCCTATTTATCCTCACTTCCCTTATTCTTGATAAGGGAATATCATAATCCTTATCATATGGAACTTATCCCATGGAAATCTTATCCTTGATAAGATTTGTCATTATCCCATGGAACTTATCCAATGGAAATCGTTATCCTTGATAACGAAATATTATCTTTCGAAAGTAGAAGAGATCTGGCGGCTGGTCAACACTTAGTTGCCTCTATCGTTAAGTCAAGATAGGTTAGGTTTATATTTCCCTATCAGTTGCCCTCCATTCCCAAGCTTGCTCGTCTAGCTTTGGGAATGTAAACGGAACAGTGCCCGCGCGGTACTGTTCATTGAACAGTAGAATTTTTTTAATTTTTTGTTTTTTTTTTGCCCCCGAGGGAACAGTGCCCCCGGGGACTGTTCATTGAACAATAGATTTTTTTTTGCCTGCGGGTACTGTTCATTGAATAGTAGATTTTTTTTTTTTTTTTTTAACCCTTAGGTACTCTTCCCTTGGGTGATGTTCCCATGTGTAATCTTCCCTTGGGTACTCTGCCCCTGGGTAATGTTCCCGTGGATACTCTGCCCCTGGGTAATGTTGGTACGCTGCCATTGGGTAATATTCCCTTGGATAATCTTTCCTTGGGTACTCTTCCCTTAGGTAATCTTCCCTTGGCTAATGTTCCCGTGGGTAATCTTCCCTTGGGTACTCTGCCCCTGGGTAATGTTCCCGTGGATATTCTGCCCATGGGTAATGTTGGTACTCTGCCATTGGATAATGTTCCCTTGGGTAATCTTCACTTGGGTAATCTTCTCTCGGGTAATCTTTCCTTGGGTAATGTTCCCGTGGGTACTCTGCCCTTGGGTAATGTTCCCTTGGGTATTCTTCCCAATGGTGAAATTAACACAGATACCAAATCAAGATTCTGTTTTGGAAGGGCGTGGATTCAAACCTATGGTCAATGACTCTTAGTGATGTAAAACTGGATTTTTCTTTTGAAAATCCAATAAACTAGTTGTAAACTTCATAGGTTTCAGTCAGCCCATCCCTTTGGCAAGGGAATAAATTTTACGAGCTTTACTTAGATCATCACTCCTATAATAAGTGAACGAGCTTCACTCAGCTCGTCCCTTTAGTAAGAGAATTAAATTTTACGAGCTTCCCTCAGCTCGTCCCTTTAGTAAGGGAATTAGGTTTTACGAGCTTCACTCAGCTCGTCCCTTTAGTAAGGGAATTAGATTTTTGTCAAACGTCGGGAATGCCAAGTCCTATTGAGTTAAGCATGCTTGATGATTATTTTCTTGCCCCTTTTAATAAAGGAAGTAGATTTGCTCGAGCGTTGTGAGCTCACCCTTTAATAAGGGAGTAGTGAACCCTCCGTCTCTTTACTGAGGGAAGAAGATGAAGTTGACCCTTCGTTCCTTTATGAGGGAAAAAGGTGTAGTCAGAAGGAGGGTGACCCATTTAATACGAGAGGTAGTCGTCTCGTCTCTCTAGTAAATGAAGGAAGCTTTAATTATCTCACCCTTCTGTGTAGAATAAGTAATCGGTTTCTTGTCCCTTTAATGAGGGAATAATGTGTTGTTGGCCCTTGGTTCCTCTGAGTCCTCCTCACTATATGTCATATCGCTTTGGCTAAAGAATGATCTCTTATAGCTGGTATCTTTTTCATCCCTGGTGAGAGGGGCTGACATCTTCTTGTCCTCTCCTACCTTTCTCTTCCGTGCATTCATGGCATCTTCAGCGTTCATGTGTTTCTACACTCTGATCAACAATTCTGCCATGCTGGTGGGAGGTTCTTTGGATAAGTTGAACAAGAGTCTGGAGGTTTAGAGTCCTCCTATGAAAGCGGTCAAAGCCACCTTGTCGTACACCTCTTCTGCTTGCAACATATCTATGTTGAATCGGGTGATGTATTCCCGGATCGACTCGCCCTTCTGTTGCTTCATGGTAAGCAGGTAGATGGCCGGCCTCCTATGCCTCTGACCTGTAATGAAGTGGCTCACAAATTGCTTATTCAGTTCTTTGAAGGTGTTGATGGTTCCTGGCTTCAGCTTGTTGAACCAAACTCTTGCCGATCCCTTAAGTGTAGTGGGAAAAGCTCGGCACATGATTACATCTGGCACGACGTGCAAATGCATGAGAGCTTGAAAGGTCTCCAGGTGATCGAGGGGATCTTTGGTCCCATCAAAGCTTTTGAACGAGGGCATCCTGAACTTGCTAAGCAGGGGGCATTTCATAACGGCGGGGCTGAATGGCAGGTTGGTCCTCTGCACCAGGTCATCTATGGCGGCAGGACCTTTCCCTTTCATAGCCTGCATTACATCTTCCATTTTCGCCTTGAGATCCTCGATCTGTAGGTCGAAATAGGTAACTTTCTCTATCTTTTCCTTAACACAAAAGGTTGTGCCTGTTTGAGACTGGGGATTCCGCGGAGGCGGGGAAGGAGGTTCTTTGTGTCAGTTTCCGACTTGGCTTTGTTCTGCCTCGAACTTGTGAGAAGGATTGTTTTCTCGGTCCTCCTCGTGTTGTTCCCCATCATTCAGATTGGGAAGACATGGGTCAGACAATTCTTGTTGAGGTGGTGGTCCCGCTGGGATAAGATGTCGCAGGATCTCTGCATTTTGTTGGATCAACCGGTCCATACTCTAATGCAGAGTTTGGACCTGTAGTTCTAACGCTGCAAGCCGTTCCTGGTCATTCGGGACGTCTGGGTGCTCACCCGACCTTTCTCTTTGACTGGATCCCTGCAACGATATTTCTGTTCTAGTTACCATACCGGACTGCAAGTGCATATACCCAACCGAGTAATTGATTTAAGGGAATCATCGTTCCCACAGACGGCGCCAACTGTTGAGGGTGAAATTCACGCGGTCCGATACGACACCGTTTTCCTGCAAAGAAGGGAGTAGAAGATCGATGAATCTTGACGGAACCGGTGTGGTGCCTGCTAAGAGCTCTCCGACGATCAAGTTAGTCACCGGAGGTCCAAAAAAAAGGTAGGAATTTAATAATAGTTTTTTCGTCGTACCTTATTCCCAAGTCGTCTTCCTCGCCTGGATCTGAAAGGGGAGGTGGAACGGATTCCTTCCTCAAAGGATCATGTTTTTAAGGTGGATTCTCTCAGTACTTCTTCTTTTTGAACGTGTTCTCAAGGCTTGTCTTGTTGGGAGATTTGACAGAGAAGTGGGGTCTTTGGAAAATATTGAAGATTGGGCTACGAAGACTTGGCTGATTTCGGGAGGAGTTAGGGTTAACTCTCTACCGAACGGGCTTTTGCTGTTTAGATTCCCGTCGGTGTTGGAGGCTTTTAAGGTTCTGGACTGGGGCAAGAAAACTTGGGGTGAGGCTCAACTTCTTATCGATCCTTGGTACTATAGGGTCAGGTGCTCTGGATTGAGATTGAGGCACAACTTCCGGCGAGTCATTTTGTATGGTCTGCCGTTGCATCTTTGGTGTCAGAAGCTCTTCGTTGCCATTAGCGATGCGTGTGGCGGATTTCGGGATGTGGAGGCCTTTGAGATGAGTGACACAGAAAGAATTGTGCTCACTGTGGCTAGCGGCGGTGTGATTCCGGCGAGTATCGTTGTGAAGGATGGACGGTGGGCATTCAGAATTTCGTTATCTGAAGAAATTGATCCGACCATGGTTCCGCTGACTGAAACACGTTTTGGAAAAGCTGATTCGAGTTCACCGGCGGCGTCCGCTAGCGTCCCTCGTTCGTCTCTCAGGGATGGAGGTGGGGTTGGTCCTAAACCAGGTTTCCAAAAGGTAGAGGTGTTGAACAGTCGGGCTCAAGGTCAGGGACGAATGAATCGCCACGCGCTCAAGGCGAGTGGTAGTAGGAAGGTTACGTTTGGGACACGTGGTTGGAGGAAAAATGATGCCCGTTATAAGCGGATGACAGCTGCCCTTCCTCGTGCCGAGTCACATGCTTCTCAAGGTTTTTTGAATTCAGGTTTTGTTGGGCCGGATAGTGTTGGGCCTAGCTTGCGTGGGGCTCATGCTGCGGGGTCGAAAGTGACTAGGAAGGACCCTTTTGAACGGGGTGGGCCTGGGCCATCCTCTGGGACGGGGCTTTTTACTAAGTCCATTAAGCGGGATGGACGATCTAAGCGTTCTGGGCCTCTCTTTTCTTCTGGACCATCTCAGGTGAAGTCAAGCTTGGTTAAGGCTAGGATGGTTAAATGGGGCCCGAATAATCAACTCTCAATCTCTCTTCAAGGTGGGCAGCCTAACCCATCTGTAGAAGTGGTTCAAAGCCTTGTCACAGAGAGATTCGACCTCATGTTTTTGGTCGACGAAGGAGAAGGCGAAATGGGTGAAGGTAAGCTCAAAAATGACGAAAGGGGCTGGGGCTTGTCCGAAGACTTTCCGGCATGGGTCGTGTTGTCAGAATCGGCTTTCGGGTAACAGATTTGAGCTTCTTCAGTCGGGGTTTTTAGGTGATGACGAGAAAGGCGATTGTGCCTCCATGAAGAAGGATGGTCCCTCTCGAAGCCTTTTAAAGCAACCTGGTAAGAAGTGGACTAGAAATGACAAACATAAGTGGGTTACGCGTAGGGAT